ATTTACACAATTTATTCAATATAATTATGTAGGGTATGAAGAGCTACCAATTAATGGCTGTTATTCCTTTCTTTACAAACATGGGTAAACAAAAGAAACATCTGGCTTCAAAGTGGATTATTTTGTCCCCTATTTTTTCATATTTTGAGTTGCACCTTTTCAAATCTAGTGGCTTGTAGTCTTACACCCTATAGTTCAACAGGACACTGTAGAATACATGAAGTTTCTGATCATTTTGAAATACATGTACCACTACAGCATACTGGTATCGTTAATAACCCACCTACTGGTCCAAAGCACCATTTTTACCATAATTTACTTTTCATGTGTATTCTTTTTTTGCAATATAAAGCCAGTTCATAGTTGCAGTCTGAACATGAGCAGATAAGGTCATTGCAGATCAAATTGTGAAATACGCGGAGACAAAATACTGGATACGTGCTCATGAAAGTTATGAAATCATTATTCATTAATGCACAAGCAATGCACTCCATGATACACAGGTGGAAGTATTCTTTGAAAAGGGGCAACAAAGGCTATTTATGTAGCACCTCCATCGCTGTAGGAGTGATTATTTCAAAATGTACAAAGTGGGACCTCTTCATGTTTGGAAGATCTGTGGATATTCAAAGCCACTTGGGACATGTGCTAACCGTGAACTGGTCTATTGCCACAAACTATTATTTAACAATGAGGAAATAATTTGTTTTTTTAATGTAGAGGTAAATTTTCCAATGCAATATTCAAGTTAAATACATTCACAGAAAAATTCTTGAAGCAGATCATGTACAATAATGATTTTCAATGCAATTTGAATCATACCATCTCGGTCTGCAAACATGTTATCTTGAGGTTTATTATAAACTTAAGCAGTGTCATTAGATATTTCAAAACTTTAGATATACTTATATATGTAATAATTAAAGAAATAAACAAAAGAATACAATAAATGAACATTTTTTTTTTTGGGGGGGGGGGGGGGGGGGAATGAGGTGTCCATATGGGTCATAACATTCAACATACAATAATGAACTGGATTTAAATGGGGCAGGAGACAGTTTTTAGTAGACATGATGCTTGAGGAAATATCTAGTAAGAACTTCTGGAGTGTTGTGCTTTCACAAAAAGATGTTTTTTTAAAATATGTATTCCCATATCAACTATCAGTATTGAATAATTTGAATTGGGAGTCCTATCCACCTAGCAGAAATTGTCCCCAAGCTAGAGAGGTATCAGAGACTTTAAACAGAGTAAACTTCCTTCTTGCTTTCAAGTGACGGCATATTAATTTCCTCGAGTATGACCATAAATAAAGAGCAAAAAATATATATATATATAGGCTGTATCAGTATGGCTTAGAAAGATCAAAAGAGCTTGCTACTCAATTATCCTCGGCTCCATCTCCAGTTACTAAACACAATGGATGGAAATGATTTTAACACCTAAATCAACCATGAAAATTTAGGGTTAGCGTTATCCCTTTTTGGTTCATTTTATCATATATGGAATACAATATTTCATTCAGTTTCAGTCCCGAGTTTAAAAAAAAAATCTTGGTTTGATCGTTTCCTGCCGTTTTCAATTAGATAAAATCACAGAGCATTCACATAAAACCATGTACCACAAGACATCTATTATCTACAAGAAAATACCTGTATACTCTACCTATCATTTTTTGCAGAATCCTATCCTCCTATCATTTCACGCGAGAAGAGACTGGGCTAGCAAACACCTATCTTGTAGAAACGGGGCTAGCAACAATCTATGGCTTGTAGAAACTGGGCTAGCAATTGCCTATGATTTGAAGAAAACTGGGCTAGCAAGTGCCTAGCTTGTAGAAACAGGGTAAGTACCTATACCTTGTAGAATCTGGGCTAGCAAGTGACAGCAACTGTGTACGAGTTGAAGAAAACTGGGCTAGCAAGTGCCTAGCTTGTAGAAATTGGGCTAGTGCCTATGTCATGTAGAATCAGAGCTAGCAACTCTGTATAACTTGAAGAATACTGGACTGGCAAATGTCTAGCTTGTTGAAACTTGGGTGAATTACTAATCTTGTAGAAAACTGGACTAGCAAGTGTCTAGCTTGTTGAAACTTGAGCGAATGCCTATATCTTGTAGAATGTGGCCTAGCTACTGTCTTTGTCTTGAAGAAAATCTGCAACTGCTTATAGAATCTATGCCAACAATTCACTGACCAAACTAACAAATTGAGATTCGCATAGACTTGGTGATCTCATATTTTCAAACATTCATAACTTTCTTATTGGTCGGATTCATTTCAAACTTTCTTTCATACAAATCAAAATATTGTAAGGGTTGGACTGCTTTTCAGAGATGAAATTGAAAAGTCTTCATACTAATACAGATTGTAACACTACAATTTTGTGCTATTACTGGTGTTGCTACTATAGATTACACTCCCAGGAAAGGAAAGGAATAGCGTGGAAAATAAATTTTCTGAAATTGTGAGCCTGCAACACAATACCACCAAAAAGTTGATATATAGAATCAACCCTATGCTAAACATTATTTTATAAGTCAAAGAGGAGATCCTCAGCTTTAAAATGATTGACAAATTACTCTGTGGAAAAATAGAGAATAATGTCCACCCATAAAATGTTACTTGAGAGAAAAGGTGGTAAATTCTATAGTTTATTTCAGCACTCCAAAGGTCTTGTGGAAGGTGACGAAAGGAGGATTAAAACTCTGAAGGGCGATGTAACGAGACCAGTAGCATGGGTCATAAAAATGAATCATAACTACTACTACTACACATGTACAACAAATTCAAATCAGAAAAACATACATGTAGGCAGAGATGCCATCCTCTTGACACACAAAAAAAACTGAATCAAAGTGGACTAACTAAATGTCCCAACTAATCAGATTTTCACGAAAACTCGACACTTCCACTGGCCATTAAAACATTTTACTAGTAAGAATGGGTAGGTAAAATGTTTGCCCTTTCATCAACATTTAATGAGAAAATTGTAAAGCTGCTGATTCAGAGTATTTCTAGCCCATGTATGGTCGTTTTTATCGAGGTTTAGGGGGTTTACCTGTGCACGTTTCCATGCAATTCCGCAGTTTATATTGTTTTTCTGTTGTTGAAAGGTTAAACAAATTGTATTTTCAAGAGGCTACATCGTATAATCGTATCTCACTCGTTTTTATTGTACTAAAAACGATAAAATTGTACTGGGTGGCATCTCTGTGTAGGCCTTCAATATACATCATACATGTACTGCCTAAATACCACTTTAAATTGTTTAGTGCTTTAGGAAATCCACACTATGCAATTTTCTGATAGTTTAGTGGTGCAGGGTCACAATTGTTAAAACAAGAGGTCAAATAAGTATTGATAATTCAAATTTTGTAAGACCCACTTATCAGCCGATGATACTGTTCACTACCCAGATGTGTCTAATGAATCTTCTAATAATTTATTTGCATTGATGAATGGCCTTGGTTACACACTTCTGGATATAGAATTAATAAGAGTAAATCAGAAGCAGTTTGGATCAGTTCAAAAAGAGGATGTGAACATTTCACCTATTATAATGTGGACGTGGAATTTCCTGGAATAAAACTTGATTTGAGCCCTTGGGAATAATTCTTTAACTCAATGGGATTTCACTTTTTGATCTTAATTACAAGCCCAAACTAAAACAATTAGAACAGAGTATTAATTGCTGGCGAATGAAAAAACTCAAGTTAGTGAAATATGTGTGATTAAGACTTATCTTACCACAGTTCATATGTTAATAGTTTTTCTTCCCACAGATTGGAATAATATATTTTATAGATTCATTTGGAATGGGGGCAAGAGGACAGGGTACAAAGGAAACTTGTAAGTAATAATGTTGGCAACCTGGACTCTGAATGGTCGATCAACATTTTCATGATCTAGCTCAGAAAATGACTAGGGTAAAATGTCTCTTGGATAAGAATTATGATAGCATATTGAAAACATTTGAGTCGGTGTCTCTGAAAAAATGTACCGTAATGATAATCAAGAGCTACTTCGGATTTCTCATGCCCTAGAATGCACAGTGAAATACAATGTACTGAACTGGCAGATTTCCTTTTGCTCTTGGTATATTTTTTAGAAATAACCTCAGATGATGATTTGAGAAACAATTTTCTGATATTGGAATATGTCAATCTTAGTGGTTCAACACACGTAATATTGTACTATATGCAATTGATTGAATCTTCCCTTTCTTTGGTACAAATTATTATAAGAATTGATTTTCATATTTCTCATAAAGATAGACAGAAATACATATTTTTGTTGAAGAATATACCAAATATGGTCGAAAAATAACACGATGAAGATCTTGGAGTTGTGAATATTATAATAAACTTTTTCAGACTATAAAAGTTCCAAAGTACCATTTTATATTTATTGACATTTGCTTGTTATTTATATGTTATGATTTGTTTGTTATTTATGTTATGATTTTTTGTAATGCTCATACCGATTTGTTTTTGTTAAAATCTTGTTAATCAATATATACATAAATAAAAATAAAGGAATTTTCTAATTTTGTTGTTAGTTTTATCGGAATAAAAGGCCAACGGTTAATGTCAATCAACATCAAGTCAAGTTTAACAATTTGCTAAGATCTAATATCTTACAAGCAAATGACATGATGCAAAATCAGTCATGGTATTAAAATGCAAACTACATTGCACCACTTTGTTAACATGTTTTTGCCAAAATGGATGTAGGAAAAAAATTCACATCCTTTCAGATTAAATCACTGTGCCTTTATTTTTTCAGTTTCCTAAAAATTATAAATAATCTATATTCAACCCTACAAAACTCTAAAAAAATGTTGAAAATTTTTTGTTAACCCTCAACTACTTTATGTCAACATCATTTGCAAAAACATATCTTCTAGCACTTAGTACAGATGACACTATCTGGGTCATTAAGTAAGGTGGTGGGAGAATGCAAGACTTCTATTATGCAAACAGAACTATTGACAAATATATTCACTATTTACGAGAACACTCCTTTTAATTCATATCACTTGGTTGGAATAAAAACACCGATACACAAAATGTTCATGACAACTTACACATAAAAACTAGATGAATGTCTACAATAAAACCCACTTAAATATTTTACAGTCACAAGTTCTATATTTAATCAACCTGACAAAGGATTAATCTTTCAAGGTCTGATGTTTTGTGGTTTCTGAGTGGTAATAAAGAAAGCTTGCATTTCAACTGGTGATTGGTTCAAAGAATAAGACATTATGAAACACCTCAACATCAAAACCTTGAAAGGGATATTCTAGATAATTATGTCTTTTGGTTGTTTTATGAAACTGTAACACAAACGGTCAAAACTGAATTGAACAACACATTTCTTTACGATAAACTCAAACATGATCGACTTTTATTATTTCATTCAAGAACAATTTCTCAGGTATTATTTAAATCTGATGACATAATTATAATTATAACTTGTATGTGTATGACAAAAGAACAAGAGTATAAAAGGGGGAGATTTTGAGACAAAAATTACATTCAATCTGTACATATTTACATTTTTTCCATAACATGGCAAACATTGTTTCCTCTCCATCTGTGCTGTTGCAAGGAATAACTATTGTCAGTTTAGAAAAATCAAATCCTTCCCTGAAATATATTCTATATCAGCAATGTGGTTTTGTGTATAATGATCTTCCCAAATTGTTTCTTAATGTTACTTCCATTGTTCTTTAAAATATATAGGATACTTCCAAGAAAAAGGCTTGTACAGAACTTGTTGAACAAAAAGGAAGATAAAATGACAAGGGCATGGAAAAGCTATCATTGTATTTTTTTTTCTTTTTTTTGGGGGGGGGGGGGGGTGAAGGGGCGATCCCTGCGACAAGCACAGGAGGCGACATACTGCCAAACAATCTGACTTTAGTACTTACTATAAGTGAAACCATGGATGCCATTGTTTTTAAAATATAGAAATGGGATTAATTACAAGGTCAGGAAACAAATCAGGCAGTATGTTGTCTTTGAAAGGACATTTATAATTCACCATGGGGGAAAAGTATCAGAAATATGACATGGCAGTTGAGAATAAGCTAAAGCAGCAAATCAATCTGTCATATCACATTCATGTTGAATACACTTTTGTAATAGTTCATTGGGGAGCATGTTCGTGCTGGTAATTCAATATTCATTTATACTTCCACCTATTGAGCAGAAATGTATTTCAAAGTCTGACGTAGTTAAGAGCTATATTGAGTTCCATGTGCCGGTGGGGTAACATGCTAACAAACTAGCTAGCTCAAAGATCTGCTATGTGTCTCGAAGGTTCTTGAACTTGTTGCAATCCTATATAAGCAGAAGTGAGTACACTTCCTGCCTGTAATAAACTTCAAGAGGACGTCCTATTGCTTCAATAACTTTGCCAGTGAGACGTGAGGAACAAAAGGAGAGAGGCCTATTCAGAGATATCTGCTTTCCTGTCAAATGGGTTGTTGTTGGATTCGCCTTCTTATCAATCAACTTGTTTCCTATCTGTATGTGATAAATTGCAAATTATACACAACTAACAACATATTGGATTATGACATTTACAGACACAAGATAGGAAACGAATAGTCTAAACTTGCACGGCCAAAACCATTACAGTTTGGCTGGAGATGGGATTTGCAGATATTGAAAGGAGTTTTTGTGAGTTTATTTTTTAAAAGAAATAAACCATGACAAGCCTTTCCCTCGCATGATAAATCTCTAGGTGAACCTAAATAAACTAATACATACATAAGCACTAAACATATGATCATTATACCCTTTACATTGCCTCATCCCCACCACTGAAAATAATTCTCGCAGTGAATAATGCCATCCTAAAAAGATCAAAACTATATGAATGGTGGCATCACACAATTCCTAATATCAATTTTCAATTTATTTGTACTTTCCCTATTTCCCTCAAAAAATGTGTTGAAGCAAAGCCCCTACCCAGAGAAGCATGGCAATTTTCTAGTACATCCAGAAAATTGCTCCATCAGAATAAAATTTATCAATATGGTTTACAAAATGTAAAGACTACATACCATTGATCTAGTAGTTGCGGTTACCGCCACCACTGTTTCCTCCATATCCTCCACCATATCCACCGCCGCCACCACCACCACCACCACCGCTATATCCAGTGCTGCCACCACTGCTGTAGTTACCACCTCCACTCTGATATCCCCCACCGCTGTTGCCACCTCCATAGCCTCCTAAAGACAAATTTGAACATTCAGATTGTGATTTAGTATTGTTTTATCAATAAACTAGATGGATCTTCGACTGTGTGCAGTTGAAAATGATGCCTCCTCCATAGAGCGATTTTACAAAGCAAAACAGAAGCAATTTAAGTTTGATTATAATTCATTAACAGCTTCTCAGAATATCATGTTTAGGAGCTATTTTTCATATACATGTATGACCCTTTGATCTTTGACCCTAAAATCTAATCAATTAATTGACTCTGCAAGATACATACATGTCTTGATATAATTATCCAACTTATGACTAATTATGATGTTATATCTTGAACAAGTGTTTTGGTGATGATTTCATGTGAAGTCATGAAAGACATTCTTTACTTCCGTATGTTGGAGTGAGTGCTGGTTTTGTTGTTGGTTGTTGTATAGTTTGTCATTTGATCTAAATGATGCATACATTGTTTTAGTTACTTATTCCAATTAGTAGTACTACTTAATTATGCAAATATGAAAGTTTGACAAATATTCACTTTTTCTTCTTCTTCAATCTACATAATCATGTACAAATGAAATGACTAGAGTACATGTGGAAAATGGATATACAACTGTAAAATAAGAGGTGCATCTAAAAACTGTATGTTACATATGGCAGAATGAATATAAATAAAAATGGAAACATTTTTAGTGACACATGAACGTAAAATGTGACATCACCCGGTGTGCGCAAATACTTTTTTTTCTTCTCTCAATGGTACCAAGAAATTAGAATTTTACAGCAAACTGATGTCAAATCAACATATTCTATTCAGTTTTCAAAGATAGCTTACCAGAGTATGGAGCATTGCGTCCGCTATATCCTCCTCCTCCTCCACCACCACTCCTCATAGGTCCACCAGAACTCTGTTGACCATAGCCTGAACCAAAGTCATTGTAACCACCACCTACCATAGAACAACAAAAACAAATCATCACCTGCTAACACTACGACATTAATCAAGTTTGAAAATTGAAACAAGTAAAAGAATTGAAAAACAAAATTACACCTTTTAAAACTATTACACATTACCGATCTAAATGATAACAAAATAATAATCTGCGAGAAATATTTAATGTCAAAATGGACTTTGAATATTGTATTTCTCTTCAAGAAAACAAAGCCAGTGATCATCAGAATGCCTTTTCACTATTAGGTGTCCATCATCAAGGTGGACAGACAATTTATGAATGAAAATAAAAACATTCCTGAACAATGCTACCCACCAGAGTTGCCTCCATAGCCACCACCATTGCCATAGCTTCCTGATCCACCACCACTGTAGCCACCACCGCCACCACTGTATCCTCCTGTAACATCAAGATATTGTAAAAGTGAAAAAAAGTTTGAGTTCTGCTCAGCGTTCCAAAATGCACAAAAACACATAATGAACCACAGTTTACAAATTTTTGACCAAAGGGACTTCTGAAGTAATGATCGAGTTAATATTGAAAATTGATTAGACATTAGCCCCCCCCCCGGTCTTATAAAGAGTTGCGATTGATCCAAATAGATCTCAAGTCCTCTAATCTGTACATGTCCTAGTATACAAATCGAGATAAACCTCAAAATAAAGTTTTCTAATAAAGATTCTTATTAATAAGCGAGTTCGTAATTAGGATTTGCGCATGGGCAGATAAAGGTCATTCGTACCCAAATTGTAAAACCATTGAGACAAATACTCGGATCGTGCTCATGAAAGTTCTGTAATCAGTTTTCATTTATGCACAAACAGTACATTTATCTGATACACAGGTGGAAGTATTCTTCTCAAGAGGCAAACAAAAGGTATTCATGAAGCACCTCCATTAGTTCGACAATGATTATTCTAAAATGCACACGTGGGAAGTATCCATCGTGTCAAATATCTGTGGATATTTTGGGGTCATGTGTTCCAGAGCTATTTACGAACTCGCTTATTGGTGCATATGGAAGGAAATACCCCTACCCCAGAGATGCCAACCTTTATCAACAAACAAGGGAAACGCTCTCGGCGGTCTCGCCTGCATAACGCAATTCAATATGATAAACCAGAACGTCAATGACGTAGCGCTCATCTGCATCTCACAACAACAAATATCGTAAATTTTATGTGGTACACTTTTGAACTGGTCAAAAAATAGAAATTTGATGCCCTGGAAGGGACATAATTTCATTTCATTTGCATAAAGTACCATAAATAATCAATGGAGCAAAATCTCACAATTCTATGTAGAAGTTTATTGTTCCAAATTTAGCTCTACCAGATAAGGCAAAATCGGTCAAGAAATGAGGGAAAAGAAGCAATTTTTGTTATTTTTGGAATAAATTTGCATAAATTACCATAATTAATTAATGGAGAGCAATTTCAAAATTCTGTGTAGCAGTTTAGTGTACCAAAGTTAGCTCTACGATATAAAGCAAACCAAATCAAAATCGGTCGAGAAATGAAGGAGAAGAAGCCTTTTTTGTGACTTCGAATAAATTTGCATAAATTAGCATAGATAATGAATTTCACGATTCTGTGTAGAAATTTTAAATCCCCTCCTAGCCCTATCATATGAAACAATCAGAATCAAAATCGGTTGAAAAATAACGAAGAAGAAGCATTTTGAAAATCTTAATGTTGATGCCACAACAAAGTCTAAGTTTGTTGACCTTAAATGGCCTTTGACCTTAACTTAGTGACCTGAAATTCTACTCACATGATTGGGGAGACTTGATAACCCTATAGTCCAAGTTTCATTGACTAAGAACTTATACTTTCAAAATTATATCAAAAATTCAAAAACTTAACCTTAGGTTAAGTTTTCGATGATGATGCTACAACATAGTCCAAGTCTGTTGACCTGAAATGACCTTTGACCTTGACTTTGTGATCTGAAATTCTACTCACATGATTGGGGATACTTGATTACCCTATAGTCAAAGTTTCATTGACTAAGAACTTATACTTTAAAAATTATACCAAAATTTCAAAAACTTAACCTTAGGTTAAGTTTTTGATGTTGACGCCGTCGCCGTCGCCGTCGCCGCCGCCGTCACCGGAAAAGCGGCGCCTATGTCTCGCTTTTTGCTACGCAGGCGAGACAAAAACAGTATTCTTAAGAGCAAAAAACAGTATTTTCGAGAAAAAAAATCGCCCAATCGAGCAGCTTAAAAATAAAAGGCAGTACCACATACCGTAAATCTCTGTGTTTAAGACGCACCTCTATTTTTTGGGCCAAGATCAACTAAACTGGACTGTTTATAGAGAATAATTAAATTCCACTCTATTCCATTCCCTGGTTACCTACCTCCACCACCATAACGACCACCTCCATAGCCACCTTGATCTAGAAAAAATAATTATTAACAAGATACATTTCAAACTTGACATTAATCGTTTCAACAGTAAACAGCTAATTTATTCATACCAAGTTTTGTAATTATTTAAGTATGGCAACAACAAAAATTAGTACCGATTTGTGTTTTTTGAGAATGTGAACTATTAATAAAGCTTACATAAAAAAGTATTCAACGAAAGCCCTTGATTTATTCCCCTTTAGTTTTTAGTCACGCAATACAAACAAAAACATCAAATTGACAACGGGTATGAATAATTTAATCCAACAACTATCTCGGCAAATACAATAACCTTTCTCTTGACAAACTATTATGACATTAACAATTCATAAATTTACTATCTCATAATAAAGTGACAAATGTTGATTCAACCTATCATATCAACATGTTTATAAGATATCACTAATTCAATGTAGCATTAAAAAAAAAAAAAGATCTAGATTTATTTTTAAATATTAAAAAATTAAAAAAATTACTACCCTAAAAATGCAGAATTGCAGACAAAAAACCGTTTAAAACAAGGCAATGAAACCTAATATTACCTCCGCTTCCACTCCTGTATCCACCACCAGTCCGGTTACCTCCACGGCTGCCTCCCCCACGTCCACCACCGTACCCTCCTCCTCCACCACCACCATAGCTGCCTCCAAAGTCTAATGGAATAGGAATCAAAGGTCAAACACTAGTTATATACTAGCAACTCTACCACACATACTAACAAAACAAAAAGTCTCACAATATTTCATACACATACTCAAGTCAATTCGGTGTGAAATCACTGAATAGTGTAGGCCTAATCATATATATTTTCTTAAATTTTTTTCTTATATTTTTATGACACTGTGACCCTTTCCTTTTGACCCAAATTTCAATCACTTCATTTAATCATGGTAATACAAACTTGACCTGAGTCAATGCATGAATACAAGATGGGGTTGACAGATAAACAAACAGAAATGGAAATGTTAAGATCAACCTGCAAAAAGAACAGTGTGGGACAATTTGTATGTCATGGAGATCAGTAATAAATCACTGCACTGAATATTTGCCCCTCCCTGTTCATTAAGGGGTGATTTGGCATCAAGTTTTACCTCGTCTCTCTCGTCCTCCTTGAAACCCACCACGTGCCATACGATCTTTGTTCTGGGCCTTCTTCACTTCTAGGTTACGCCCATTCATCTGGAAATTCTGCCTGACTGAAGAGAAAGAGAAAGAGAAATTATTTAAAGTACAAGTCCACTCCAAAAATAACTTACTTTCAATAGAAGCAGAAAAATAAGACAAACCAATCAAAAAAAGTTTGAGCAAAATCGGATACCTAATAAGAAAGTTATGAATTTTTGAAAAAGTATGTAAAACCATGGAACAATAAAAATCACTGTACATAATTTGAAGGGGTTGTTGACTTGTGTACACGGTGCGGCTGTCAAGCATTGCCAGTAGTCTAATGCAATATAAGATAGGATGGCAAAAAGTTGACCACATCCAGGTGGAAGCTTCAATTTACTTTTAACCAATCCGGACTACTATATATACTCTGAACAGGTGGCCTTGTCGTTAAGCTGTGCACACTGCTCAAACATTCCAAAAGAAAATATGGTTTACTATTGGTCAGTTAGTCAAGCTTACTATTGTTGCTCATTGGGTGACCATGGCGCATCATCATAGTAAATTTGTGTGATTACGAAAGATCTTACAACTACCCAAGGGCTTTCACATCAAGTTAAATTATATTCTAACTTAACAAAAATATAAATTAAAATATTTTCCCCCCTTTATCATCCCTTTGCTGAGTCATTACAAGGAGTGTTTCTTTTCAGGACTGTACGAAAAGACCTACACTAACAATAAACATGTATATATATTACCCCTTTAAAGGTACTATGTCCCATTTGCAGGCCCAAAAAATGAAAAAGTTAAATTCCAACTGCATTTGAAAGATAATACTAATTTAGAACTTCCCTAAAAAAGGTAGGGCTTGAAAATGTCTTCAAGTGGGAAAATAATGACTATTAGTTGTCAAATCGACTTTAGGGCTATAGAGCCCAAAAGTAATAGTCTTGATTTTCAGACAATTGTACCAAATGGTCATACGTTCTATGCTGCGCAAAGATTCAATCAGTTTAATCTTGGCCATCACAAGAAGTGGGTTATTGAAATGCTCATTTACCCTTTACAACTCTTTTCATGTATGTTATTACCAAAGAAGAAAAAAGGCCAGTCAGTCACTCAATAGTGTCTGACAGTGAAGTCTAGCAAGTAAACGGGTTTCCTTGCATAATTTGAATATGAGGACACTGCTAACGTTTAAATTTTCACAGATAGGACATTCATGACATATTCATAATTCCTGCAAAGTTCTACAGAATTTGAGGTTGGCTGCAAAAGGGACATAGTACCTTTAACAAAATTAAACAAGTCAACGCAAAGCGTGGCATCCCCTCGCAGGGTATAAATGGCCTATAACATTGGACTATACTATTATATTAATTACGAGGCAAGGAAGTTTCACATATATAATTAGGTGTTTTTGCATATTTAATGAGCTATGACCTTTCACCTTTGACCTACATACTCAGAAATCAAACTTAGGCTGTACATGTATTTTGATACCATGTATCTTCATATCAAATTTCATTAAAATTTGACAAACGTTACTCAAGCTATCAAATGAAAACCAGATTCGCATATTTAATGAGCTATGACCTTTGACCTACGTACTCCAAAATTGAACTCTGCCTGTATTTTGATATCATGTACCTTCATATCAAATTTCATTAAAATCTGTCAAACATTACTGAAGTTATCAATCGGAAGCCAAATTTGTTACGGATGCACAGAAGGAAGGAAGGAAGGACGGAGGCGTTACTATAATCCCCTCCGACTTCGTCGGCGAGGAGATAACAACAGAACCTCAGGTGATAGAAGTAGTAGAAAGATGTAAGAAAAAAAAACAAACTTACTGATGAGTTTGTCAACTGTATCCGAGTCTTCAAATGTGACAAAACCAAACACTCGCTTCTTTCCTTCCGTGGAAGGTGGAATAGATACATCTGTGACGACACCATAATTAGTGAAGTATGCCTTGAGATCCTCTGCTGTAGTTCCTGGTGCAAGACCCCCAACAAATGCTTTGTTGGTCGATTCTTTACTTCCTCCTTCCTATACACCACAAGAAAAAATTACACATTGACGATATTAATCAACTTTTTCTTTTAAGAAATATTACTGTAGTAAACAAATTGAAATGTGGAAGCTTTAAGTACAAGTCCACTCCAAAATAACCTACTTTCAATAGAAGTTGAAAAATCAGACAAACCAATCAAAAAAAGTTTGGGCAAAATCGGATAACTAATAAGAAAGTTATTAATTTTTGAAAAAGTATGGAAAACTATGAAACATTGGGAATCACTACACATATTGCCAATTTGGTTATCAGTTTGTGATGTCATGTCCTCACTATTTATCAATTGGCCATTTTCTTAATGTAACCACATTTAATGCATAAGTCTTTGTGAATCTTTGTCAATCACCTGATAAGAATAAAAGTATTTAAAAAGTCAAAATGCAAATTGCATGTATTAAGTGTTGCTAGGTCAGGTCATGCTTGTCCTACCTAGCAACAACTAATAATAATAATAATAATAATAGCCTAATAAGTCCACTCCAAATTTTATTAAACCGAAACGGAAATTCTTTTTGCCCAATTGATCGTGAGCCCGGCAGCCACTGAGCAGCGCCAGATCGACGTTGGCCTATCTCTTATTGTTGAACGCCAAACAAGGTAGCAACAACTCCCATCTTTTAACGTCTTTTGGTATGACGCGGCCGGGGTTCGAACCCACGACCTCCCGGTTGGACGCTCTACTATTATTATTATTATCAGGTGAATGACAAAATTTGTATTGAGGCACTTCACGAAGACTTATGCATTATATTTGGTTACATTAGGAAAATGGCCTATAGTTTAATCCCATTAATTTCCCTTTTTATCACTCAAAACTTGATTTCCCCAGGTTATATCATTTGTATCATATTGCATGCATAATATTTCACAAAATCTTTTATGAACTTTGAAGAATTGATACTATTTTCTTAATAATGTATTTTCATAATTGATTATTATATAAATAGTTCATCAAAATTCACATGTTTCATGATTTAACTGGAAAAAAATTACACTATATTAGTGAATCCACACAAAAACATATGACTATCAATCTAACTTTGATGCTGGTGTGAAGAAATAAAATTTGTATGGACAAAAAAGGAAATTTATATAATCAATATAAAGAAAATAATTAATGGATAGTGAGGCAATGACATCACAGACTCATGAGTTTACAATTTGTCTAGTGATTTTCAAATACTTCCCATTTTTGTAGATGAATTCCTAACTTACTTCTTTTTATATCTCTTTTACTCTTCCCTACATTCAAATATCATTTCAAACAATTTATTTAGTGTAGGAATTACACCCTCTGACCTTGACCGAATGAACTATATTATATCTAGATGGACCTTTATTAAGTACAGTCCATAAAGGATAAAATTAAGAATGAAATTTGATTTTCATTACACATGTCATAACCACATATCTTACCTCTTTGGGTAAAGCACGCTTCACATCAATTTCTCTTCCATCCAAGACATGAGCACTGTCCTTCTTAGCATCAATAACCTTGTCTACACATGCAGATGTGGCATAAGTAACAAAACCAAATCCTCTGGGTTTTCGGTCACCATCTTTGCTGTATTGCGAAGAACAAGTTGATTGAGCATTCATTTCATTTAACCAAAACAGATATGTTAATGTTCTATTTTCCATTAATTTTCTTGCATAAGCATACATTTAATATTTGCCGAATGGAAATATATACAGATTGCAAAACTACTTTTGACAATTTTTTCCCAAAAGATCACCCTGCCCTTAAAAAAAAAATGTGGAGCATCCTGCTTTCTTTTTTTTAAAGGTGAAATTCAAAGAAAATCACAAATATGTCAACTAATGTATCACTAGAAACTGGTAAGCTAACAGATGGCCATCGTACAAGTTTGAGGTCAATTACATATCGGGTGATTTAAAAATACAAATACAACCACCTCCATAGCAGCTGGGATATACGAGAGATTTGCCGGAAAAATAACGATGCATTAATGACGTCATTATATGGACCAATGCTGCCCAAGCAGACGACATCACATAAAGAATGAACATAATTGCAAAGCTATTATTTGTCAAATTATAATGAGTTTAGTGTTTATAAATGTAATGGCATGTCAAACCATTCAAAAGGGGATATGACCTGATTCTGATAACTAAAATCTTTTGCTTGTAAATACACAGGATAGGGGTTAAATAACAATCAAAGAAACCAGACTTTCAAATTGAAAAACCCCCGGAATGATATTGAGGATGGCATGTGTTCCCTCTTGAACCGCGATATGTGCAGCTGAATATACAATGGCGTCTTATTTTGTTTACAAGCGACAGATTCCTTTATTTTTGTACCGCTGCATTTGTCATCAAAATAAAACCATGCGCGGGGTTTAGAGTGAGGCAATCGATTATACATTTAGTCTGACGGTAGTGAAGAAAGAGAAAGAACTCAAGAGAAGATGAAAATACAGGCACTGCAAATGTGTGAGATGTCATGGGACATCGTCTGCTTGTGCAAATCATGTCCATACTGTGATCTCACACATCTCAGTAGCGTTTGGAGAGCTCTTCAGGCGTTATGCCGGGGCTGTATTTAAGCGTTTTGTAATTTATAATAATCATTACTTTGAATGTTTCCAAGCATTGAATTTTGATAACCTTGTCAAATCAAAGTTTCAACTTTGCAATAATGAAAATATAGTTAGTTTTTTTAAGGAGGCCCTGTTTTTGCTCCTTCAACAGGGCCACTCTGCACATATTCCAAAGCCTTCGGCAAGGCTATTTTTCAATTTTCCCCATCGAAAAGAGTATTTTAGCAGTATATGAGAAGGCAACCTAAAAAAAGGAAGGAAGTGGGGACATTAAACATATTTTTCCCAAAAAATTTGCCTTACAATCTCAATTGCATAGAATATGAGATAAGATTGAAAAAATGAATAAATTAAAAAAGTTCTTAACTGGTTCATTAGCAATTTATGTACAAGGACTAACCACCATATCAGCCTATGAAAAGCCAGTTTGACTAATCTATGTACCGGTAATCAAACAGCACTGAAATTAATACTGCTACAACTTTACAAAGTAAAAAAAATCAAATGGAGATGAGCTATACTTACTGCCTTACTACACAGCAGTCTGTGAGTTCTCCAAATTTCTTGAAATATTCGTTGACAGACTCTTCTGTAGTGTCGAAACTCAATCCACCCAAAAACATCTTGCGCATCTGCTCCGGCTCACCCTAGATAAAAAGTGAAATATACATTGTAACCAAATTTGAAGATACTGTTTATCCATGAAGTTTGGTCACAAGTGGACTTTGGTCACACTGCCATTATATGGCTACTACACTAAGATGCTTCATCCAGTGAGAATAAGTATAGCAGATTACAGGCTGTGGAAAGCAGTGTAGTATGTAACCCTGTTACTGATAATGAGATCGGGAGCCGATCAGGTAAAATCGGATAATAAATTCTGATCGTCAATCAGTGAAAATGATTGGAAATAATCAGTGAAAAAAAAATCAAAAAGTAGAGAATTTTTTTTTCTTCGTAATTTTTCAAGTTTTGCACTATCAATTAGTTTTAGAAAATGCATACCAGTAGCTGGGATTATTTTGTCATTTGGAGTTGTTGTGTGGAAAAAAAATCTTTAGGGGGAAAATTGGAAATTTGTATTACCGGTATCAATATAAAGAAAACAATTACCCTATTTGCCGGCGTAAAGGCCGCACCCCCAACTTTGACATTTCGTAGAGAAAAAAAAAAAAAAAAAAAAAGGAAAAAAAAAAAAAAACGGACCAAAGAAAATAATTGTAATTTTCCCGTAGAACTCTATTTTTCCTATAAACTAATACCAAAATTATCAATCATTTTATAAATTTACAGGAAGTTTACCTAAAAAATGATCGTAATTTAGCAAATCTTCATCGATTTTTAGGCAGATTAGCACATTCATGGGACACTAGAGGGCGCTTCGCATCCATACAGAAACCTGAATGGCCAACCTATCGCAGGGTGGAAGCATGGTGGAAGGATGTATCTTTTTTGTAATGTTATCCGGTCTTACCCCTATCGTACCGTCAAATGGAGAAAATAAACAAGCTTTTGTATTGTTATTAGAGATCTACCGAGGTTAGTTTGTCGCTTTAATTAATGAGATAGTCTCAATTATAATTCAGAATTATCTTACTGAAAAGTTAAGAACACCGATGATGTACGTAACCCAAATCATACCTTACTCACACACTCTGTGGTGGGGAGCTACGGGGCTGAGAGTTGCTAACAAATCCAACGCACCTTCGGAGATGCACAGCGCGCAATCATCGGTGTTCTTAAGGACATTTTTACAACTTTACAAGTACGAGTTTCTGGTCAGTTTTCTTCTTATTTCTTTGGTTGCACAACGACTAAAAAGATAACTTCTTCAAATTTGCTGCTGACGTGGTTCAGACTAGATCTTTTCCGATGTGTTTTCAAGTCAATTTTGTTAATATATTTTGTTGTATGAAGTTGTCTACAAATAATGGACGTGCTGTTTTGACTTGCGATTTTTACTCTTTCGGCGTAAAGGCCGCACCCCGACTTTTTGATATTTTCTCTTCCAAAAATACTGCGGCCTTTACGCCGGCAAATACGGTAGTGGATAACGCAGACCTCCCAACATTTGATTTTCAAAATCCCTGAAATTTTGCGCGGCTCAGCAAAATGTGGCACGTCCCGCCGTGTTCGTATGTTTAGGACATGTATTTTTTCACCAATATATGATTTTTGTTTTGGCGGAAAATCAGAAAAATAAATCGAAAATTTTGGGAGGTCTGTATACAAGGCAATGATGTCACAGACTCATGAGTAAGGCTGTGCACAACAGTGTAATGAGGTACAAGAGTACACTCCCATGCTTACAAACGAATACTCGAATATTCGGACGCCATGTTTTTTTTTTATTTAAATTTTGATTTAAAAAAAAAAAAAAAAATTGAATTCTTTTTTTCTTTTTTTTTTGCCACCACCATACATACCACTGGAGCAGTATCTCAGTTCTGTCGCCGAAAACGCATGCGATTTTACTTTGAGTTGCAGTTGAAGGCGCCGATTTAATAATAATAATAACAGTGAACAATGCTGTTTTAAAAACCAAAGATGGCAGAATAATCCATTTTCCTCCAAGTCCAAGCAGAAATCCAGACATTTGGTCCCAGTTTCTGAGTGGTGAGTTTGACAGTGCTTGAGTTGGGAAACATTTTTACCGACGGCACCATGCCAGCGGCCGCCGCTCACCCAGGCACGGGTAAGCGTCGGCCTGGACATTTTAATTTATTTATTATTTTTTTTTTTGCGGCCGAATATTCGGGTACGAGAAATCGTACCGGAGTAGTTGTCAACCGTGCGGGTACTCGAGCATTCGACTACCCTTCACAGCCTTACTCATGAGTGATTTGTCAATTTGTCTTGTGATTTTCAAAGTTTTTCATGTCAATTAAAAAATTCATAACTTTCTTATAAGTAATCCGATTTTGCTCTAACTTTTGATTGTTTTGCTTCTATTGAAAGTAAGTTATTTTTGGAGTGGACTTGCCCTTTATAGGGATTGGGTAACTTTGTCTCAGATTCTGAAATAAAATCCTGGATTTAGCTCATGCTACAATCAAGCCCGAGTCAAAACATTTAACAGACGGTTAAACGACCGCATTTATCAAAACCGTTTAACTGTTATTTTTGCGCAGTTTTTGTTTGTTTTGAGACTTCATTGCTGATACGGAACTCCTAAATTAATAAATATTGACGAGACTTCATTGCCGATACAGAAAACAAAGTCTTGCCAATAAATGTTGTTTAGATCTCCGTACGGGCAAACGAAGTCTTGCCGATAATTATTGTTTTTAGATCTCCGTAGGGGCAACAAAGTCTGGCCGATAATTATTGTTTTTAGATCTCTGTACGGGCAATGAAGTCTTGCCGATGATTACTGTTTTTAGATCTCCATATGGGCAACAAAGTCTTGCCGATTTTTATTGTTTTTAGATCTATGTACATTAGGAGCAACGAAGTCTTGCCGATAATTATTGTTTTCTTGATCTCCGTAGGTAGGGGCAACGAAGTCTAACAACAATATTTACCTGGAAAACGGATGCCACGATGATGCATTTCACGTTGACTTTGCACAGAGACTTGCACGTTATGAACGATAAATCCTCAGGAAGACGGAAAACCCATAAAAGTAGATGGATAACTTGGGTTATTTTACTACGCTAGGCCTAAATGAATCTTATTTTTGCATGGCCAGTGGCGCGGATTGGGAACCCTAGACATCTAGAGTAGGTTTTCGGCCACTTAAGACAAAATCCCATTTTTTGGACTCTTTACTTCCTATTTATTAGGCCATGTAAAATTGATTACATGTTGATCGTCCGGATTTTTTGAAAAAGAGGAGGAGGGTGTACCATGTTATTTGATATTTGATATTTCAAAATAGCCGCTCAAAATGGCCGCTCGGTACATTTTCCCTGACAGTCGAGGCTATTTTTTTTCAAGATGGCCGCCGACAATTTTTTTTTTTTTTAAATGAGAAATAGAGCCATTTTAGCAGTGTTTTTCATGTTTTTTTTCTTTCAAAAAAAAAAAAAAAAAAAAAAAAAAATGAAAAAAATAACAAATAACAAAAAATAGGAGGCGGCCCCCAAAAAGGAAGCGGGCGGGGACGATCAACATGAAATCAATTTTACATGGCCTTATCATTTTTTGTTCAAATCATGAAGCAAATATTATTATTATTTAAACAAAAAAAGAAGCCCAGAAAAAAATCACGAATTGCCATGACAACATTCATTTCAATTTTCACTGTTTTGGAGCCAGTTATCGGCCGAGCGTTTCAGTTTACGGCCACATGTACAAAGTCAATAGGAAGCGCTCGCGCGCGCCGTGCGTTTCCGCGCTGATGTACAGCACAAGCGGGCAGAGCAGGTATCCCACGCCGGAGCTCCCTGGTGCTCGCCTGGCCGAAGACAGGCACAGCGGTGATCGGAAGTTGGAATCTGAATTAGACAGACATATCGTGTGTGCGTGGCAGGTTCCGGCTGCATTGATTTAATACATGCGATGAGATACTTTTGAACTTGCGACTAACACAAAATCGGGCTCTAAATCTGAAAAATACTTGAAATAAAGCTGATTTTATGGTACCCATATCTCTTACATACACGCGTAAGATACTCGATTTTTCAGATTCGGGTAGCGGGACCGCCGATTACATCGCTAAAATGTGATATTTTAGGATATATTTTTCATTGCAAATGTGGTTCTTCAGTGACACTGAACTGGTATGGTATGAGTGGGATATGTGTTAAGCTATTATGCGATGTATTTTAGAGTGATTTTACCTTGCATCCAACCAATCGGCCGAAAACTGGAGCTGGCCGATTACCGGCTCCTTTACTCTAGATCTAAGTTAGACCTACTAGACCCTAGGGTAGCGCGCCCAGTATTCGGTCGATTCCCAGTATTCGGTCAGACAGCCGTTTCAACAGCTGTAACAATTTAAAAAATATTTTATGAGCCACGAAACTTGCACAAATCAGGCAGCTGAACAACTTTTCTTAACTCTCAAAATTAAATCAGATTTAGGGCCCCGGAAAGATCTCCAACTTAGCTCGAAATTGGTCAGTGTCGCACAACTTTCCGCACTTTCGCGTTCTCTTAGCACATGCGCTAACATGCATAGCCATATGTAGAAGTCTATTGCGAAACAACTACGTGTGCTGTCACAATGAATTTAGTATGTGTGTGAAGAGAATCACTTCCGTGTTCGCTCCATCGCAGCGAATTTGCAAATGACGCACTTGCCGATGTGCAAGAGGTATTTATACGATACCCTTGCCATGCGGTATCGCTCAGCCAGTATTCGGTCAACGCATTGACATTCAGTGCTTTATCGCGCAATTGTGTGAAAATAGTGCGCAAATACGCTACGCTCCTTTGCAACGGAGATACCACGCACAAATCGCGTGACCGAATTCTAGTCGGCGCGACCGAATTCTGGGCAGAAAAATGCTCCGTCTTCTTTCGGAAGTCTTTTGCTTATCGTTATTCTATATTTTCAGTGACTATAAAATCCTGTTAGAGGAATAAATTTCTTTTCTTTTGATGGGTAGATTGCCCAATGAAAGAGGTAAGAATTCAAAATATTAGTGGTTTCCCCTTAAGTGACCGAATACTGGGTACTCTACCTACTACTCTAAATCTAATGACAGAATTTTTTTCCCTGATTTTTTTATTTTGTCTTTAAAATAAGGGTGCACCTTATACAAAGAGATTTACAGTAGGGTCTATGTCATAAATCTTCTAAGAGTAAGACCACTAAAGGACGAATAGGTCTATTCATGATTGTTAATGTGAGCGCTAATGAAACACAGCTTTCGTTAAATCTCGTTCCCTTCCCCACACCACCAACGCACATGCACACGTGTAATTTAACTGTGTGAAGCTTTTTGTCAAAATTCTCCCCCTCTCTCCGACTCTGCTCTTTCTTTCTTTAATAATTTTGAGCTTTGCTTCGAATATTATCTAAAAAGTAGAGTCTAGTCTACTAAAATTTAAGATATAGTCTATCTCTAACTCACCCCTGAACCATGGGAACTGTGATTGTGAGCATGTGAATCCATGATGAAAACTGTGTTTGAAGATGGAATAAAATCGAAGACTTTGACTGTAGTTAACGTGTAGACCTAGCCACCAGGAAAGCGAGAGGACAAAGAATTAAAAATGGCGAGGCTAGCTAGGTGCGCACGCCAAGTAGCGAACGAACATGCGGCGTACGTACATGTACAGAGATCCTATGCACGTGCTGGGTCGGCACTCGCGAGTCGCGTATGCTGCGCTGTCGTGACCGGTAGCTGGCGACGTGACGCAGCTTGAGCTTGAATTAAAGGGGATCTAGAGGTCAATGCTAGGGACACTAGCTGAGACGAATGGCACGATGGCGCATTGTGATTGGTTAAGTAATCAAAGTTGCTACTATGATTGAGCCCCAGAATTCTTCGGTTTTTTGACCACCTGAGCGCATAAATTTTGATATTATAGTCACAACTCGTCAATCGTAAAAAATGCACACGAGCTCAAAAAAGTGCATAGAATCATTGGGTTGGTCACATAAGTTGTCCAATCACTGTGCATGTATCAAGTAACAGTTAAAGCGCTTCAAGCTTTTAAGCCAATTACAGGCAGTGTTCTGTACGCAGTGGCGTACCTAGGGTACTCCGTCAGGGGGGGGGGGGGGGGGGCAAGCGACCGAAACAAACAAAAAAGGCGATGCTAATTTTCACTTCTGGCGAGCGAGCGAGCAAAAAAAAATCTTTAGCTCTTTGCCCGCTTCGTCTCGCCATATAACAGACGTGTTGCTTACGTTTAGCGTAACAGCAAAAGAAAATAGCTAGCACTCCACCTAGTTTATTATAAGCTAATGTAGACCCTATTTCACTTTTCATTTATTTTAGAAAATCAAAATATCATATCCCTACTCTTGTTCAATGTCTGATTTATACATGTACAAACAATGCGATTGGTATTCATGTTCAATGTCTGATTTATACATTATTTCATATAACGTTTGGTATATAAACTGGTGTTGTTGCAAGTTAATTGGGGGTGGGAACATTCACTTGTTAGCGACGTTAATTTCATTTTTTTGCAAACGAGTGTAGCGAGCAAGAAAAAAATCACTTCTTTTTTAATAATTGCCACTTAAACTTTATTGTCCCATGCAGTGCGCGGGAAAAATATTGTGTTTAGGGTGATTTTATACCCATTTTAGCTAGCGAGCGAAAATACATCTTTCTCTCAATGAATTGCTATAAAATTTGTTTCATTGTTGCAGGTAGGGGGCGGGCACAATCGTGTTTAAGGCAATGTCAATCCCATTTTGGCGGGTAGGCAACCCCCTACATTTCTCTTTTTAATGAAATTGTAGCAGGTTAGTGGTGGGCACATAATTCCACGAGCTAGCGAGCGTAGCGAGCGAAAAAAAATCACTTTTCTTTTATAGGGAAAATATGGTACATAAAACTTGGGTTCATTGTTCCATGTCAGGGACGTGATTATTAAAAGCGGTGTTATTTCTATTTTGGCGAGCGAGCGTAGCGAGCGAGCAAAAAAAATCACTTCTCTTTTATAGGGAAAATATGGTACACAAAACTTGGGTTCATTGTTCCATGTCAGGGACGTGATTATTAAAAGCGGTGTTATTTCTATTTTGGCGAGCGAGCGTAGCGAGCGAGCAAAATTTTTGTAATGATAATTGGTTCATAAATTTCAGATTTGTTTGTTGCAGGTCAGGGCTTACACGATCATGTCTAAGGTGATGTTAATTCCGTTTTGGCGAGCACGAGCACACCAAAACTTCTTTGAAAAACGTTTGGTACATAATTATTAACTGGTTGTTGCAGGTTGGGGCGGGCACGTTAGCGGTGTCAATTCCATTTTGGCGAGCGAGCATAGCGAGCAAGCAACAAAAAAAAATTAATAGAAATTAATAAATAAACTTGTTTTTATTGGTGCAGGTCAGGATGGACGCAATCGCGTTTAACGCGATTCAATTCCTATTTGGCGAGAGGGCAAAAAAACTCTTCCATTTTTAATGATATTGTTGCAGGTCAAGGGTGGGCACAATTGTTTCCAAAGCAATGTCTATTCATTTTATTCGCGAGCGAGTGTAGCGAGCGAGAAAAATGAATTAGTCTCTTTTTAGTAACATTTGGTACATATATTGTGTGTTATTGTTGCCATGGTTGCAGGTCGGGGCACGTCGGGGCAGGCACAATTGTATTCTAGGCAATACTAATCCTTTTCTTTTTTCAGGGGGACGAGCAAGTGAAAACATTTGATACAAAATAGGCTATAGCAAGCAGTTCGCGCCAGCGAAGAGTTTCAAATTTGTTATATCACTTATATTTTCCTATTTTCATTTGTTTTAATTTTTCAGGGCCGTATGCGGAATATTTTTCTGGTGGGGGAGGGGGAAAGATGCGTTAAAAGTTTTCGAAGAATCTCAAAAGCAAAAGGAGTGAAGGGAGTTCGAGCGACCGAACTGGTCATGAGGGTACTTTTGCATTTTCAAAAGTAGAATTGAAGGATTTGGTATAGGCCTACACTACATTTTCAGGAAAAAAACAATACGTTTTCACAATATCTGGGGTCAACTCCCCCCCCCCCCCCCTGGTGCGTACGGCCATGGTCTTTTTTTTTTTTTAATTTCCCCATTTTTATTCCTTTCCTTTCCTTTTCTTCCCTTTTTCTTCCTTTTCTCTTCTTCTTCCTTTTTTCTTTCCTTTTTTTCCTTTTTTCTCTTTCTTTCCTTTTTTCTTCCCTTTTCCTTTTTTCTTTTTCTTTCCTTTTCCTTTCTTTTCTTTTCTTTCCCCTTTTTCTTTTTTTCCCCCTGGAGCCCGTCAGGTGGGGCACTCTGCCCCCCTGCCCCCCCCCCCCCATAGGTACGCCAGTGTCTGTACGTACCACTAGCACTAGCACGCACTACGAGCTTCCGGCCGGGCGGCGACATTTTAAAACCTAACCTAGCCAATATTAAAGGGACTGGATCGGCAGTTTCCATGTGCAGAAGACTTGTTGGCAACACCATTAATGGGAGTACAAATCTGCACACAGCAAACCCGTTGGTCAGTCAAGAATTACCCCCTAATCGCTCGGAGAGCTTCGGTTGAGGGAAAAGCGAAGCATTACATAAGGTCTAATAGTCATAAAACTGAAGGCTATACCCTGGTGATTGACAACACCTGTTATTGGGTAAACACCCGAACGGTGTCCAATTCCCTATGAAACTTCTATGTGACTTTAAAGCTTATCTGCCATAGTTTACAGGAGGGATATTAGAGCGCCCTGCAAGGTCACTGGACAGGTGGTTATCTCATCAACTCAGCTCTCAGTTAACATAAGAAAAAGAGGATCATGGGGGACCAATGGTCACCGATTATGCATTGTTTGTTATATAGAGGGCGCAAGTAGCTACAAGTAGTGCAGTGGGCCTTTAAAGGAATAGTTGAGTTCTGTTGCAGAAGGTGCTACACAAAATATTTTGTTGTGAGATAATGAAAAACTGAGTGTCAAATTTGAAAGGACATACAATTCAAATGACAAATCATCTTCGTTTGATCCAAATCGGTCATAACGATTTATAATGCTTGTGTACCACCACAAATATTAGATAATTTGAAAAAGCCGTTGAAAAAAACGAAATGCGCTTTTACGTCGTATTTTAGCCAATGTTGATGTGAGTTTTTTTGTTGGCATTTTCGTTTTGGTTATATTACGCACAACCAGCCGGCTCATATATGTTGTTATTTTTAATTAAATAATTAATTAACGGTCACCATATTTTTTTTAAAGTGGAGCTGAATTGGTATGATTGTATTGACTAAATTTCACACGGCATTTTGGGGTCTAAAATGACCTTCATAGCAAATTTAGGTTGAGATCAAAATTCGGTCAGATTCAGTATAATTATGTCGCAATGATTATGGACAATTTATGACCTGGGTAGTCATAAGTTAACGGTGAGCCACCCGATTTTCTAACAATGTCATTCATTTCAAGTAAACCGTTTGCATTTCTAAGTTTTGTATGAAATCTCATTAAAGCATTCAGGTATAATATTCTGTTTGGGGACCTTGCTCTATAAACAAGCCCAGCTTCTATAAGGTCTCCTCTTTCTTTCATGTACAGAACATGTAACTTCTTACAGAATTTCTTTAGTTAATTAATAACAAGAGTTGTATGTTGAACATTACTATTGTACTTCAAATTATGTTTGTTATATTGATAATCTGCTACATAGTCCAGTTACTTCATTTCAAATTCTATGTTTAAAGGTAATACAAAGTTTTGGGGAATTTTGAAAATTGGCTGGATAGTGATTCTCTACGATTTTGATATAATTTTTATTTGGATTCCCCTGTGGATGTATTATGAGCACTAGAAAATTTAGCCCCTAAAACACTTCTGCTTTCGAGAAAAAATGAATATAAAATATACCGGTGCTCCCGGTAAATTTTGATGAATTTCAAATAGCGCATACGGCCGTTCAATGGAAGCTGCGACCATGAAAATGTCAGAATGTGTAGTTGTGATATATAATTTCCGAACGGGAATAGCTGATCGGTCGATTTAAGTCAAGATGCGTGTTTTCTAGCTTAATTAATATCTTGACCTTGAGAGGGAGCTTATACAACATAAAGAGATTATTATTTACAATTTCATAACTCGATTTCAACCGCGACAACGATAACTGAATATTGTAGGACCGCATATGCTTCTAATATATTCATTTGAACCAAATGAATGACCCCATACCCAAACTTTGTTACCTTTAATGTTTGTGAAAGAAGAAATAAAATGAACTAAAATTATTTGTTAAATAATTATTATCGCATCAGATTCTGTGTGCGTGCGTATCATGAATAATGATAGCGCATGACGTATGGTTGTGTCTGCTACTATGCTAATCAACTAGGGACCTACGTCCTTAAGTCATAACTGACAATACTGGGGATTAATGCCTCATAATAGGATAGCACATCGACACGGTTATGACTTAAGGACGTAGGTCCCTTAGTTGATTAGCATTGTAGCACACACATGCTTTATGCCACGCAAAACAAACACTCCCCAATTGTCATTCAATAAATTCTGAGAATGTATACTATTATCTAGATCTATTAGGAATAAATCATTGTCAAAATCATTCAATAAATTAGGGTAAAAATAATTATTCCACCATTATGACCAATAGTG